GAACACTTACCTTTCGCGCTTCGCTGCTTAAATATTTTATGGAATATAAGTTGCATTATATAATATGAATTACATAATCAAATGGGGTTTCAAAATATCGTTCACCAATTTTTTGTTTTTTTTTTCAATACTAAAAATACTAAAGAGAAAATGTTAAATTTTTTAACAACACAACAACAACAGCTAATAAAAATATATATGTACACTAGGCCAAACAGACAAAACAACAGTATGTGGGAGTGTATGCGCAAACACACACACACACACGCACACACAACTAAGGAATTATACGAGTATATAGTACTTCAGACTAAATACCAAACAAATCACTAATTTTTACAAAAATACGATTAATTGTAATAAAAACACAGTACAAAATTACATTTTCGCTTTTATTAATTTGCTGCTTAATATATAAATATATATATATATATACTAGAGAGTATGTATATATGTATGTATGTGATAGCCGTTATAATAAATTGGCAATTCAATTTGAATGCAAATATATTGTATGTATGTACTCATAACATTAACGCACGAAATATGTATGTAGCTATGTAATTATGTAATTTAAATATATATTTACTTATTTTTTGTTTAGCCAAATTGTATACAACTAGAACATATATTGTAGGTAGTAGGTATGTAACTTTAAATAAATGTAGGTTTTTGCTTACTTTTTTTTACGCAAATTTATTTCACAAAAGTTTTTTTCCAAATTATTTACAATGCATGAAATATTGTAATCAACTAAAAAATAGACGAGTACTAAAGAAATCAAAAATGAAAATTTTCAATTAATACAACAAAAATACTTTCGTAAAAAAATCATACTTAATATATGTAAGTAAGTAAAACTAAAACTAGAAACAAATACATGTAAGTAAACACTAAAAAACTAAGTTTTACAAATTAAAAACTAAAAAATATATAAAATATTTCTTTATACTCATATTTGCCTAAGCCAAAAACTAGACATGCAGACAAGTTCAATTTCCTTTCTAGTTGAAACCATAATACATATGTAAGTATCATATATATGTGTGTGTATGTGCCGTTATTATCCGCCGCTTGTGGCAAATAAATTTTTCAAAACAAAAATTAACTAATTATACAATTTGCAACTAATTTACTAAACAAAAATTTCAAATTTATTATGTTGTAAGTGTTCGAATGAGTTAGCAATGAAAGTGTTGTACTATATTAATGTGATTTTCGCTTTTACTTAACCTAAAGTTATTTCAAACAAAACTGTTTTGTAAGTTTTTGAAGTAAATGTGAGCATGAGTGTGCCGTAGAGAAGAAAATAGAAGAAACATACTAGTTTTTCTGTAGAAAAATGCGGGCGTTGAACAAGCTCTATTTCTGCTTAAAATTTTTTGAGGTTATGTTTATTTAATGAAAAGAAATATGTAAACAAAAATTATGAATGAATTATATTATTGCTGTTGCATGTACAGCAAAGGTGATAGCAGCAATAAATTGTAGCGAAGAAAATATCTTTACAACTCAAATAATAATACAATTAACCAAATAAAGTATACAAGTCTTTGAACTAATTTTTACTAAACAGTTTTTAAAAGCAAAGAGGATAAAAATTACTTTCAACTATTAAAATTTTTGATATTTTGTACAAGCTTGGCCACAATTTAGAAGTATTTCACATTTTTAGTGCGAAATGGTTTTCGAAACCAAGTTTACCAAATTTTTGGTGTGTTTTCATATCGCTTGTGTTTACCTAAAAAATGTATGCACAAGTATTTATGTTTTTGTTTATTTTATGTTTTATATAATAGAATCAGCTAATTCGCATGCAGCAGATTTCGAATAAAAATTAAACAAAATTACAAAAAAAAAAAAACGCAAAATATTTGTTCAACGCTTCAAAATAAATTTTCGAAAAAATAAGCAGAAATATAAAATAAATTATTTAAGCAAACTATAAAAAAAGAGTGCAAATAAATGATATAAGAAATTTAAGTTTTAACTAAAATACTTTGATAATAGAGTTATAATTCTAATTTGATGCTTTTTGCTATTAAAACAAACAAAAAGCTTTTTAAACATTTTTGCAAATTATTTATGATTTCACAGATTTTAAAAAATATTTTTTTAATTTTTTGGATTTGAAAATTTTTAAACGTTTTTGAATCAACAAATTTCCACTTTCCAATTTCGAAATTTCGCAGTTGACAAGTAATTCCTTTTTTTTCTTGATTTTTGGGATTTCAAAAATTGTTTAAACTTTTTTGAAATAAAACAAATTTCAATTTTAAAGACAATTTCGAAATTTCGCAGTTAAAGAGTTACAATTTTTTTTGTTTAAAGAAAAACCAGCATATAGCTTTATATGTATGTATGTCTATGCGTGAAATTGTATATTTACGTTACAGAACTAACCTCAGAATGCGTGCGCAGGCGCAAGATTAAGCTAGTAATACTTTCTGCTGCTGAAATGTCAAAGAATATTTGTACATTCTGGCAAATTATGACAATTAAAATATTACAAATCGTAATTACTACGCTTATATTCTATATATATATGTATATAAACTTAATGAGCGATTTCAATGTATGTATGTATTTAAAGAGTATGTTGATGACATTAGCGCGCAATATATCTGCAATTAAGTGAATGTTGCTACTAATGGTTAATGTAATATTTAATTAATAATATAATAATAATAATTAAAAATAGTAATATTAATTAAAAATTATATTTATACGCACTATTGATTCCACTTTTCAATTATAAAATATATATAAAAAAAAAATATTTATTTAGTAAAAATTTATATTCAAATCGCTTATAAATAATTGCAAAGCAAATAAAAAACAAAAGAAACTAATATAAAATACCTGTTCTTACATAAAATGCATAGGTTGTACTAACGCTATATATATTATATATGCAGTGTAAATAACGCTTTAATATTAATGTCAAGTGTTGCTGTAGACTACCGGTATAAGCAATAAAGTTAAAGAAAAGCAATTCGTGTTATTAAAATAAATTTGTATATATAATTATAAGTATTTCAATGTTTTCGTGATTTTTTTTTTAAATAATATTTCATAAAAAATTCACGATTTCGTTTAAAACAACACTTCTTATGCAACATTTTCATAGTAGAACCCTTAAAACCTTTCAATTGTTAAGTACTGTAAGTGTTTAAGTGGAAAAGCAAATAAAAAATTATACTTGATCGCCAAAAAAATTAAAAATTGGCAAAGAAAAAAAATATATACAAAAAAAAGTGTGTAAATTGAAACTGAAAACACTACATACAATGCAGGCATTACTGTAAAAGTGTAAAAAAAATTATTTTTTTTATAGGAAAAAATTATTTTCTTTTATAGAAAAACAATAATTTTTCTTTATAGAAAAAAATTAAAATAATGAAAAACATAAACTGTATAATATTGAAATGAAAATTTGTAATAAATCTAAATACATACACTAATGTTTCGTTGAACTTAGAACTTATACGCACGGAGCTTTTACTGCCGTTAATTGCTAATATTTATAGGCTTTAATATCATTACAATGTACAATTAGGCATTAATGACATATAAATAGTTTTTATTTTTTTTATAATAAATTCAAAAAATAGTAGTGGGCAAGCAATTACAATATTTATTCACTTCATACATATTTATAAAAGTATATACTAAACTATTTTTTTAAATTTTTGAATGAAATATTATTATCAATGGAAATACTAAACTAAGCACTCTACAAATTCAATGCAAATTTCTAGTATGGAAACGGTATGAATGTAGTGTTTGTGGTATTAATAATTTTGCTTTGTTATTTTATATACAAAAGTAGGGTTTACTGCAGGTGTTATATATATATATGTATATAAGCCATGTTTCAAGGTGTGAGCAACGTATATGGCAATAATTTCGTAGGAAAGGTGTGCAAAATCGGTATTCATATGAGAAATATTTATTTTTTTTAATTCAAATAGGTTGGTATATGTGTGTATGTTCAATTTTAGCTATGGTGAAAGTTCTTCTTTCATAGAAAGTAGTCATAGAAAACAGTGAAGAGGGAGATGAGTATTGCGCATTTTTTTTGCTTTCTTAAAATTTCCTGCGTTTTGTCAGATATAATTACAGCATTTATTGAAATTTTGTTCGTAAAAACTAAATTTTTGAAAAATACTGGTTTTGAAATTGTATAACAAAACTAGTTTCTTGTTGAAGTACACAGCAGCAACAGAAATTCATGATTTGTAAAATTCGATTCCAGCAAATTATATAAAATAGCAGAATCAAAGATAAAAACGACTGCTTAAAGTGTGTTTTCGAATTAAGCGAATTTCCAACAGTGAGTGACTTATTTCTTAAACTTCTTTGCAACACTAGCTCTCTACAGCAGTTATTTTGCTTAGAAAATACAATTGATTTCTAGCAGTTGCGCCACGTGCAGTAGAGTTGCTACTGCGCTACGACCGCTTTAGCGTATCGAACAAACACACACAACTCGTTGATAATTGAAAAAAGAGTTCTGTGGCTCATATGAACTCGCTACCTTAAATGTATGTTTTGTTTTTTAGGAAAGTGTTCATAACTACTATATGTTCAATGCAATTTAGTTTACGGCACATATACTATATACATATGTATATTAATATATGTATGCATGCGTACTTTATATGTAAAACTACTTGTAGGTCATGTATGTATGTATGTAATGTAATTGGCATGTATATGATTATATATACATATATGCGTTAAATTGTGTGTAGCATGTTTTTTGTTTTGTTTGTTGTTGTCATGTTTTTCTAAATTAAACGCAATCAAGTCGGTGGTTTAAAATTCTAATTCTCATTATTTATATAATTATTGTTATATGCAATGTTATATTATGTTTGATGTTTAGTACTATTAATATATGCTTTTCATTAATTGCAATATATTTTGTTCAATTTTTTTTTTTTTTTACTTTTTAACTTTGCCTGCTACTCGGTTATAAGGTATAACATTTGTAGATATTACTTTAGCATTTTTTGTTGTATTCGTTTTTTTTTTTTGTTTGCTACTTCGTTTAATGCTCTGCTTAGATGCTTAAAATTAAATATATATATATATGTGTTAATTTTTCAACATTTTTATTATTATTATTATTTTCTTGAGTACATGCGCTTATATTATTTTGGCGCAGAACAAATTGTTCGCATGCGCACACAAAATTTTTTACTTCATTTTTTTTTTTTTTTTGTAATAATACTTAAGTGCGGCATTTGTTTAACAATAACAAATACACAATTTACATATATCATTGAGTTTTACTTCTGAAATTGACAAATGAATTTTGGGCCATGCGCGCGCAAAATGTAAGAAATTGCCATTTGCCGCCACTAAAATGTTGCGCATACTGAAATTTCGCCTTCATGTCTTATCTTTTCTTATATATGTATGTATTCATTGCTTTGAGTCACTTATAACTAAATACATGTATGTTTATACTTTGCAGTTTTAATTATAATGCGCATAGCACTGCAGCTGGTGAGCTATTTAGCGCTGTTTTACTCTCTAGAGTGTGTCTTTTTTCAAATAATTATTCATTATTGCAATCTATGCGTTGGCCTTTTTTTCGTTACCAACAAAAAACGCGTAATTTCGCGCACTTTTGGGTGTTAAGCAAATCTCTTTGGCGCTTTTTTGCCACATTATTGTAGCATGCGCTTGCAAATGAGCTTATTACTTTATGTTGGCTTGAGCTAAATAACTAGCAAAAACAAAAAAAATAGAGCGCACGCATAACTTGTATGCTTAAATTCATATATGTAATAATTATGTTAATAATAAGCAATTTATACACATTTGTAGTGTTTTTATTTTCTTCTTTTTTGTTTGTTTAAATATAATTCAAGTTGATATTGAGAACTTAAATTGTATGTATGTCGTAGTCAGCGTCTCACTAAATTAAGTAATAAAATTCAATGCTCACGCTTACAACAAGAACTATGCATTTATCACAAATTGTTGTAATTGTTGCAATGCGCATGCGCGCGCACACACACACACATATTTACAGCGTGCGTTTAAAGAAATGTATTGTGGCTTGGCGCGCATGCATTAGTAAGCATGAAATGGATTTATTTCCATAAATATAAATATATTTGCTTTTTTTTCAATAAAGAGTATTTTTACTTCTGCACACTCCACATTTGGTTGTTGAAAAACAAGCGAAAAAACAAAAAAAAAAACGCACAATTCGAATTTTTTTAAAATAAATTCAACTTCGTATGCTACGCTTTAGACATACATGCCCATGCCGTACATTTGACTCCAGTCAACACCCTGAAAGCTGGACATGTCCACATTGGTTAGCGCATAGCTCTGATATGGATTGGCTGCAGCGGCGGCCGCGCTCAATTGATTGCCGGCGACCAAAGCCGCTTGTTGTGCAGCGGCTGCGGCAAGCGGATGATGTGCCGCCTGAGCGCCATGCGCATTCGCAGCGCCACCTGGGCCGGTAACGGCAAGCGCATTGTGTGCGCTCTGTGCAGCGGATACGCCTTGTGTATTGGCGGCATTGTGTTGCTGTACGGCAGCAGCGGCGGCATGGGCATGGGCAGTGTGTTGCTGTTGAGCGGCGGCAGCAGCATTCGCATGCTGTTGCTGTTGTGCCGCGACATGTTGCTGTTGCGCCTGTACCAAGGCGTTGGCGGCGGCAGCACTCGTCGGTATGGGATATGGTGCATATCTGTGGGGAGGTGAGAAAAAAATATATATATTATATATAGATGTTATATTTAGTTCCGACACAAAATTAGCAGGTTGTAGGTACTCGCGCTTACCTGACGCTGTGCAAGGCCTGTGGATATGTGGTAAGCAATTTGCCAAAGCTAGCCGGATTGGCAGCGACCGCAGCGGCGGCGGCGTTTTGTACTTGGAAGGGTGACTGCGAGATGAGCGCTGCCTGTTGTGCAGCAGCGGCTGCAGCGCCATTAGCGGCATGCAATTGCAATGGTGACGGCCCTTGCAACATGGCCAATGAACTCATTGTGGTGACGCCGGCACGTGTACCAATTAATTGACCCTGTGCTGTCGGTATAGGCACACCCAATGTGCTCAGCATAATACGTTTCTGCAACAGTTGTGCAGCAGCTGGTGTGACAGCCTCCTTGGGCTGGGCTTTCTTGCATTCAACCTTCTTGTTTTTTATAGTGTGAAAGTGTATCTCACAAACGCGATCCACAACATCCTCATTCTCGAATGTAACAAAACCGAAACCGCGATGACGTTTCGTCTGTTGATCCATCAGCATGACGGTTTCCTCCACAGTACCGAATTGATTGAAATAGGCTTTCACCTCATCGGCGGAGGTGTCTTGTGAAACACCGCCAACGAATATCTTCTTTGTTTTATTGGCTTGACGTGGCCGATTTTTGGGTGTGGCATGCTTGGGATCGATCTTCTTGCCATCCAGTGTATGTATGGGCACCTGTAGCACTTTGTCAACGCTACAGGGCTCTTGGAATGTTATGAAACCAAAACCGCGACTACGCTGTAAGTCATAACAGCGGCAAGCGTAAACGATTTCGTGTTGAAAATGGAGATGGGAGGGAAAAAGTCAAAATTATTTAATATTAGTAAAAGGTGTAGAGATTGTCATAAATACTAACGAGAGATAGCTACTAAAATACGAATACATTATTTTTAATAAGAAAACATCTGTTGCAACTAAGTTCAACTAAGTCGTACAACTGCAGTACGCAAGAGCAATTCAAGTCAATTCAATTTACTCAACGCTAGGCAATTTATAATAAATTTTATTTCTGCTTTTATAATTTTCTCAAGTAGTAAAGGAGTATGAGTATAATTAAATTGCAATTGTACATTTGATTATAAGAAAGTTATAAATTATTACGTATGTATATTTCATATGGAGTTAAGAGATTTAATTCAATTGTTGGATATAAATACTATGCGTAGAAGTAAAAAAGAGACGTTAAAAACGATTTACTTTATATGTATGTATATATATTGGTTGCTGTAAAGAAATCAGTAAAATATAGTCTAGTAGTCAAACAACTCAAACATAACCTAGACGCATTATCTATACATACATACATACATAAAAACAAATTTACGTATCTAAACCTAAACCAAGACGTTAAGAATTTTTTTTTTTTTCCAAAAGCGCCACAACTCAATTTAAGGGATGCGAGTAATTTTTAGCAGCGCTTAACGCACGATATTCACATATTTCAGTGAACAGTTAACAGAATAAAAATAAACTTTGTAGGATAGGTCAAACATCTTACATAGCACACATTAATAGTAAATTTTGTGTTAAATTTTGTTTACTGCTAAAACGATATTCGAGGTTTTACTATTACAAACTTTTTGTTAAACCGCTGACTATTTTGATTTTTAGGTTAACTAGATACGATCGCACAAGCAGCCAAACAGGGTTACCTAGGCGAAAAAGGTTTCTAACAACCTGCTTCAAATTTCAAAAAGTATTGGCAATTTCTACAATTCAAAAAATGCTAGGTGAAAACTAACTTTTCTTTCGCACTGAAATGTTTTTCAATTGTGTTTCGAATTTTTAGTTCCACGGCAAGGTTTACTAAAGAACATTTGATGCAAGAGTCGTCTAAGCATTAAAGAAAAAAAATTTTTTTTTTTCAAAGAAAGCAACCAATAATAAAAAATTTATTTGGTTTCGGCATTAAGTAGGCATTTTAGTAAGGAACACAGTGGACAAATAAAAATATGAATGAAAAACATAAAAAAAAAATGACAAGAGCCTAAGGGGGGGGGCGAGGGTACGATAGTCGAAAAAAGAGGCTACAAAAACTTAAAAATTAAATATTTTTACAAGTGTATATCAATATATACCGGACTAAAGTTTATTCTAGGTGCTATTTACACGCATACATACACACCACGCACACGTACGCCACTGGAGACACGCTCAAAAACAAATAACCAGGTATTGTCAGCCTAACAACAGACTTGCGCCGCTAAACCAAATTGAACGCTACATAACAAATACTTTTATATAACTATATAATTGGATTTAGTTACTTATACGAGTATATATTATATATAGTATGTATGGTTGAAAAAAATACGCTTAAATGATAGTTAAAGTTTTACGCTAATGAAGCGCCTAATTTATAGTCTAAGTATAACACACACATATTGTATTTAAAGCAGCATACAATTTCAGCTGCTGAAAACTAAAATTGTACAATATATGCACACGACCCTACAACTTTATAATATAATATATTGAAGTGTGTCTACGCAGCACACCTTATTAAATATGCGGTATGTCTTAAGGACAAAAAGCATTAATAAAATTACGTTATTAACAATAAATTACAATAGTTTATATATAGTAGTTTATATTGACAAGAAAAAAAAACATAATTACAGCGCAAAGGTACACGCACTCTGTTACAATCATTTAAGAAACATTTTTACAATTACAATAAGAAAAAAATATATTTTACAACTATTTTTTGGCACTTACAGCTAAACGTTTTAATTTGTGATACATTTTGGATTAAACTATGATATAAACTTTGCATTTTGCTTCCTTTTTTTGGTCCCTTCAAAATTAGCAGAAATTTGATTATTAATTACAATTAACAATACATATATTAATTGGTATTATATAGCCTTGCTTTTGTACATATCTATACTAATATGTGCCTAAATGATGTAAATACGAGGAATGACTAATTCAAAATATTCGTTTTATATGCTGCTAGATTTTTTACTTTTTTTTTTAATAATTATTTTCTGTATTATTGCGCATTACGCTTACTTATTGCTAAGGAAATAAACGTACTACGAGACAGTAGCGCCTTCTTAAAGCTTCGACACTTGAGTCAATTATTTTTAGCTACTTATTATTTTCTGTATTCTTTAAGTAGATTATTTTTGTTAATTTATACTAAAAATGAACTTGATAAATTTGTAAGAATAAATTTTTTTTTGGCGAATATGAAGAAACCAAAAGTTGCTAAATAAAATATCAACAATGAAATGAAATCAATATGATTATTTGAAAATCTATGCAAAAAAAGGGTTTAAAATGTGCTGTTATAGAAAAATTTACTAAGAATGAAAAAAAATATTTCACACAAAAATATAAGAAAGCTAGCTAACTATATTCATTAATTAGAAACTGAACTGCAGTAAGCAAAGAGAAAATAGACTAATTACAGTACTAAAGAGGAGATTTAAAAAATATGAAATATAAAACATTGGACTATTCGACTATTATTACAACTGCTGCTAGAATAACAGTCAACGTTTTTGGGCTTTCTTGATTAACTTGTGTTTAGACCCTTGCTAAGGCATTAATAGTTTAACCTAAAGGCATATACATAAGATACATACAGACATTGATAAGTTTTTAAAAGAACGTTATGATTTTAGAACTAAATGTTTTAATAATAATGCATAACGTTAGTTTAATTAAAATAAATGAAAGCATTTGAAGCAAAGTAGTTCAGCTAAAGTATTTTTATACCCTGAATGGGGTATATTAAGTTTCGCTCTGAAATTTTGCATACAAAATAAAGTGCTTGTATGGAAAACTTTTTTATTTGACACGATATCTTATACAAATTTAGCATAACTTATTGTCCAAGGTAACGCTATAATATTCGAAAAAAAATTTCAGATCGAACCACTGCAGCATATAGCTGCCATACAAACAGAACGATCAAAATCAAGTTCTTGTATGAAAAATTGGTTTATTTGACAAGTTATTTGCACGAAATTTGGCATGGATAATAGCACGAGTCAACGGTACAATCTCTGAACAAATTATTTAGATCGAACCACTATAGCATATAGCTGTCATACAAATTGACTGAATTTTTTGATATTTTAATTACACAAATATAGCGTTAGTGCCACTTTTTATTATTTTCACTCAAAATTTTCTTTTAACTGACTTTAATTTTAATTTAAACTAATGTTATGCAAGTATTAGTATTTTTTACAAAGAAAAATTATTTTATCACAGCAGAATTCAATTATACATCATAATATTTTTCTAGTAAGAACATCAGCTATTGACTTGAAGTTAACTGTTTACAGGAATTAAAGATACATACCTAGTTATATATTTAACTAAATCTCGTTATAATTTTATTTTACACGTACAAATAGATAGGTACACTAAAATAGTATGTGTTACAGAATTGTACAATTCAACATTTGTCGACTGTCATTATTTTGAGCAACTGCTAAATTATTCTAAAACAATAATTATGGGTAAATAAATGCTTATTTTCTACGCAATATCATATTTTCAAACGATGAAATCAATTATATATAAACCGACTAAATTCGATATAATTATTTTTAATTGATTACAATATACAATTTCTTTTTAAGTATTATCATAAATACATATATATTACTGAGGGTTGATAAGGCACACAAATTCATTACAATTATAGGTGAATTTACAGCTTAGGGGGTCAATTGTTTGTAAATGGTAGTAGTATAAATATTAATTATATTTAAATACTCAATATACTATTGCAAAAGTTACGAATTTACTGCGATTGAGTCCTACTTTTAGATTTACGGGTAATTTGTCATTAATGAGCATTTGAACAAATACGTTTACAATTTCCTATTCGTTAATGTTTCATATGCGACAGAGTTAGGTGGAAAAATGTTATATAGACAAATACCTATGATTCTTGAAGTAGAACATGTCAAACGAGTGCGCAGACTGTGTTGAGCATATGCAAAATGAATAAGGTTGCTTGTCTGTCAGCATAATTCCAGTAAAGTACATGATAGCGAGCCAGAATAGCTTCTCTGTACAGCACTTTTTCATGTGGTTATCCTTTAATAATTGCAGCTCGACCAGTTTTGCTGAATGTCAGTAGTAGTTGTTGTTGTTTGTTCGTAATCCTGTCGCGCAGCTGCCACATAATGCCTATGCTGTTATTGAATAGCATAAACGAACGGTAGTATTCTACTTTATTTATGTGCTGGCGTTTTAAAACGTCGGCCAATGACTCAGGTATGCCACAATTTCAGCACAGTTTAAGTCGTAATACACAAATTCATATGTATAGGTGTGTGTGTGTGTGTGTGTGTTGCTTGCTCCGTTTGACTGGATATTCCATGCGCATGCGTTTTGCACCACCTATCCTTGCTCATGTCGGCTTAACCGTTAACATATCTTGCCTGTTGACTGTGTTTTCTCTAAATTCTGTACAAATCCATAGTAATGTTGTTTTTAATAGCGTAAATAAATCAATTTCGACAGCGTCAGCTTATAAAATACATAACTCGCTGCTTTCGTTTAAATTTTAGCTTACTTGAGAAATGATTAAATAAAACTACATACATATGTATATCTTTTACATTGCCTGCTGGATATTAGCTTAATTTATAAGTACGAGAATATTTTATGGATTTTCGGTTTGGCATAATTCTACATATAACCACTTAGTTGTAATATAATTATACTATATATGCTATACCTGAGCAGTAATATTCTAGTTGTTTAACTGATTTCGAAAATATTAAAACTTAAATTTTAGATAGTATTCTTTAAGTTTCCTGTCAATTGAAAAAACTGAATGAACTACGTGATACTACTATATAAAATAAATAAAATTATTTTGCGATATACACAAATTTCATTACAAACACACCATTGAAGCCAGGTGTGTTTTTTGCCATAGAGATATATTTCGTTAGTATGCAAACGCATGCACACTCCACAGTATGCAAACAAAACAAAAACGATCATACATATAGCAATTGTAGTATGTTTAGAATAAAGAAATGCATAAGGGCAAAACAGCACGGAATTTTGAAGACAATAACAGAAGTAGTGAACGAAACCCGTTTCTCAGAGTCGCAAAACCGAAAAATTGTAAATAAAATTTGAACATAGCGGCAGGATATGCCAAAATTGTACGAACAAATGAAAATGCAACGTATAAAAGGTAAAAAGGATGGCACAATAAGCAGTAACAGGCGTTGAAGAGCTGAACCCCAGACAAGTAAAGAATAGCAGTATCGATTGTACTGTTTTATATTCCTGTTTTCATTTCAATTCAGCAGTATCCTGTGCCATAGCCCTACAACGAAGCCCAACTGTGCGCTGACGCGGCATGCCATGCAAGGGCACACATTTTATACGCTTATACATATGTATGTATGTGTTATATTGTAATCTAACCAAATTGAATTGAACAGCTGTAATATTGCGACTGCGCGTTGCCGCCAGTTTTTATATCGTACAATAATACAATCGGCCAGCCAACAACATATTTGAATCAATGGCAGATGTTTGCGTCAGTTGGACACGGTGTATATAGTATGAGCGCGCGCTAAATGTTTACAACGCGCCGTAGTGACGGAACAGTTGGTTTGACATGAGTCAGTGGGGCGAATGCCCTACATTCTTGCATTGAACTTTTTTATAACAGGACATTTTGAATTGTGACAAATTGCATTTTCTAAGGTTGATGAAGTGTAGTTTTCATACTGTAATAGCAGTTGTTAGATTGTATATTATTTCTTATGAGTTATGCGGATTTTTGGAAACTCTACTGTATAGTTTGAGAGTAACACAGGTAAGAAAAAAGGCGTCTTTCTTACAGCTGCGTGCAACATTAAGGAACCTATAACATTTAAACGGAATCTTTTCATTGGTAGAATGTAGTATTGTTCTCATATTTGTTGTTGCGCGCTCATATCACTGAGGTAAAATAAAATGAAAAAGGTGCAGCTGCTTGCCAATTTTGCTGGCTGGCAGCTCCTAAATACATATGTAAATGGTACGTTGCCAGCCTACCATGTAAGAAAATACCAAAACATACATGACATATGCCTATGCAAATATAGTTCGATATGAAATTAAGCAAAAATATCTTGATATATGTATGTTTAGTTAAGACAGATCATGTGAGTGTAGAAAAATTGTAGAAAGATGAGGGCAAATATTGCTACACCCAAAGCCAACGTAGGCAGCCACTGAATAGTAATAGTAGACATATCAAATAAAAATGCCTAGGTAAATATTGTTAGTAGTAGTAGTACTGAAATGAAAAGGTACTCCTCCGCAGCAACGCTAGAAAGGAGACTACTACGTGCTTACCTGTGTCACGGGATCCTTCATGATTAGCACATCGGTGACGGTGCCGAAAACTCCGAAATATTCCTTTAGTTTTTCCGACGATGTTTGCCAGCTAAGACCGCCAACAAAAAGTTTGCCTGGTGCTGGATCTGTGGTGGAAATGCCACTGACAGGCGTCGATCTACCAGAAGAACTACCCTTTACAACAGCACCATTGGCGGTACCATTATTACCACCAGCAACTGCTCCAGCATTACCATTCAGCAGTACCATGGTGTTTTGTTGCCCCTGTTGTTGTTGTTGCTGCTGCTGTTGTTGTTGTTGTGCGGCAGCGTTGTTATTTGTAGTATTCTGCTGTGACTGTTGTTGCGCCTGTGCTGCTGCTGCTGCTGCTACTGCAGCTTGTGCTTGAGCTGTCTGTTGAGCAGCGCTATTTTGTTGTTGTTGAGCCGATTGACTCTTTAGCACTGCAGCTGCTGTATTGGTCAATGTACCATTTACAGCCGCAGCATTGACCAGCACATTGTGTAGGTCACGGTGTTGTTGATCGATGAGTCCAGCAGCGGCTGCGGCTGCAGCTGCAGCAGCATTATCAATGGGATTGCTGTGTGGAAAGAAAAATGTTGGATTGCTAGCAGATTCTTCCTTTATGCGTGCCGCAGCAAGTGGTATGGAATGAGGATGGTGTTGTAACATGGTAACGCCTTCTTTTATGGCGTGCACTTCACGTCTAAGCTGAATTTTGATTGATAACGGCGTGGTATTCGCAAAAACGGTATGCGTCCAACTGTTTTGAACTAATAAAATCGCGTAAGTGAGGTTAGCAAACAGGTGGCGATCGCGAAAACAAAATAAATCGAATGAATTATCTTACAAATGTTATAGTTTAGAAATGTGAAATAACTATTCAATTGCGCGTTTACCAAATAACGTCTATTTGTAGCAGTGTCTTGTACGTTCTGGGAAATTTTCAATTTTTCCACACGTTGAGAAAAATAAACAGCAACGCTTTCCACACGGTTGCCCTAGGTAACTACACAAAGTGGTTGTTGCTCAGTTATTTTCTTGAAGAATAATTTTCTGTTTTCAAGTAAATTTATTGTGTTTTTATTGTTATCTCCTTTTTCTGTACTTATATACTCGTACATATGTATACAAATTGTAATGTAAATCTGAATAACACTTGCGTATCACTATGACGATTATTTCGTTTTTATCTGCACTATAACCGATTATCTAATGTTTATATATGCAACAAATGTGATTTCAACATGCAATTTATGTATTTAAATAATATACAATATGATATCGTTATGCTTTCAAATATTTATAAATACACAACATATCTCAATACAATTTCTTTCGCTTTTAAAATATGTTTGACTTCAAACGTTTGCTTTTATACTAGTCCACCATTTGCCTGTACAATTACACTAGGAAAGCCAGTATAATCCTTGCATGCATGTTGCTGCAACATGTTCGTTCATACAGGTAGTTTTATAAGCATAGAGCGCAGGCGCTTTATTGCTGAATATGTATGAAGGAGCGAAAACATGTTTGCCGCAGTGTTAGGAAATGACATTTCGCATTTTATATATGTATGTATGTAGATCAAATTTCTGCTACTTACAGGAATTTGTATTTTGGAGACTTAACGCCAAATTTCATAAATCATTTAAAAATATTGCAGTTTTTTGAACAATTTGTATTTGCGACACAAGCGCGCCTGATTTTCTCCCCTACTAATTTTTCCCAAACTTGTTTTAGACCATACCGCTTGTAGTTTTCGCATTATGCGGCTTAACTTGCGAATTTCTTGCGACTTTACGGATTGCCCTTACCCGCGACGATGTATGGTAAGCGCAAATAAGATAATTATATGCAAAGCAAAGGAAATTGAAACTTTTTAAAATTTAGCTATTTTGGTAAAATGCCCTATGAAGATTACACGCGCCTTCTCAAAAATAAGCCTCCGCCTATAAAAAAGGTGCGTCGATCGCATACTTGTAGCTAAATGATAAAAATTACTGTTTTGTAACGAAATATTTTAATATTTACAGTTGCGCACTTACAATCAAAGATACGCTTGGCCAGCAGGCTTGGTTGAGGCATTAAAAGATGGCGAGTTTTGAACATTGTTTTCTTTTTAGTATTGAATAACTGTAAATTTGAAATTTGTCAATATTATATATACAAAAGTTAAACTGATTTTTTCCAGCGAAATAATTAAAATTTATATGTTTATAGAATATTTATTTACACGTCCGGAATGAAAATATAACATTATTATTTGAATACATTCAAATATCAAAAATATAATAATCGCTTTAAAATCACAAAATTCAACAGGTCAAGTTTTATTTTCAGTTTACTATTCTCTTTTCAAGAAGCACGTTTTAATTAGAAAACAATATGGATATTTTTGTCTATAAAGGAATATGTAAAATGTTTGTGTGTCTGAACATGTATATATTTATAATTTATATTTATGTCATAAAGGTAATAGTTTATCGTTATCGTTTAAATATTTTCTTTTACAATTTTTTTGCTGATTGTAGCAGTTATATTTTTTAGTTAAGTAACATTTTAACCTAAATATATCAGCAGATGATGTAGAAAGTAGTTTCTTGTCTTATAGTTTTCTATTAAAATAAGATTGTTTGTTAATTAATTTGAAGTTTTTGTTAAATGTTTTTTTTTTTTTTATTCTTTTTTAAAGTAACCAACTAACTGATTTGTAATTGTCTTTGAATTTTTACATTTTTCCAGTTATCACCACTTTTTATCATAGTTGGTGGAGCAGTTTTGGGTCTATTTTATGCGATTGTGCGAAATGGTCTGTCACGTGATGATGTGCGGTGAGTTAATTATTTAATAGATACCATCAATATATGCACTTGGCGAGGTCAATCAAATTCAGCATACGTAAGAAAAAACCAAAAACAAAAAAAATAATAATTGATGTATAATGACAGAGGATCGAAGCATTGTTTAAGTTAGCTTTGTGTAAACGCAGCCTCATGTCACTATATTTTTTGAGCTTTAAAATTATTTCTGTTTCGAATATTTAAAATGTAAACCTTTGAACAAATAAAAACAAAAATTACTCTTATGTTTCTTCCAATAGTTTCTATTCGAGTGGTAAAATGAATTGCGAGGACGTGGAAAAGTCCGGACCAAGAAAGGTGAGTGCTAGTTTTTTATTTTAATTTTATTTTAAAATGTTTTACTCACATTTATGCAAAAAATAATAATATCAAAATACATTATTTGCAGTTTCTGGTATATAATCAAAAATACAAAGTACCCGAAGGTTTAAGGGAAGCACTTGCCGCCATTGAGGAGCCTGCGGAAGACGTGGCAAAGAAGTCAAACTAAAAATTGTCGACGGCTTTTTATAATAGAAGAGTACTGGAATATTGTACAATACAAAAATTATAAAAACTAATTAATGTTAAGCGTTTACAATTGCAAGCGGACTGTTTGAGTTATAGTTTTGGCGAACAGTGAAATTGAGTCTTATGAAAGAAATTATCCAAATTTTGTATTGGTTTTGTCTCAGCAAAATGTTATGCAGAACACGAACGTTTTAGTATATATTGTAAAAGTATTTATGCAAATTTTTAATATATGTACAAGTATGTAATTTTTTCTATTTATTAAGCCTATATTAGTTTGATTGTATGCCTATGCACCTATTTATCTATGTGGTAAATAAAGAAAAGAGTTTTACGTATGTGTACTTTAAAATCTATTTAAACAATTTTGAAACTCATTCACATCAAAATAAATTTTTGGAATTAAACCAATTCAATGTAAAAAATTTCTTTTGCCAACAGAAATAACCGTTGTTTTAATACTTATTAGTTCTGAAAAGGCACTAACAAAAATTGTAATATTGTAGCTTATATAAATAAAAATAAAGCTTCTATAAAACAATTAACATACTCCTCAAACCCTTCAATGACTCCTCTAATAAATTATTTATATTAAATTTGGCCTATAACGAGTATAAAAGCCTCACAACCCTGCTCGAAATGAGTGATAATAGCACAGAATATTCAAATATGTAATTAACCGACGTTAACACTACTACTAACAGCGATTCTAACATTAACAGTACATACATATATACTGCTATTACAGAATGTTAATGAAATTTATAATAACAGCTTGCGATAAATGAAATATCACAAATATTACAAATATGTTATTAAAAGGCGTTTACACTTTTGATACCAGCAATACAAATCGTAACATTAACAGTGTAAATGATTACTTCACAGCTTATTATATAATATGTATTTATTTTATAAATATTTCTTCTTCGTAAAATAAGGTAAAAACTGGGAATGAATAAAAAAATACCACAAATTGTTCAGTATATGCGATTAACAGCGCTGAACAGTACTAATAACAACAATTCGAACATTAACAGTGCTTATAATGGAGCATGCCCAGAGAATGTTAATCAATAACATACTCTGACATGACTGTACATGCATGTACATGAATTTTAATGTTATTTAACATTGGCGTTTAACGTTCATGTACCACATATGCAGCTGATTTCATGATCAATCAACACGCATTAAGAAGTAAAATTATTTAAAATAATTCAGTTTTATACTGTATTCTAAAAATAAATGAAAAATACTCGTAAAGAAGGAGTATAAACTCGCCTGAAGAAGAGGCCGATCAGCTGATTATAGAACTCTTGTGTTAATTTACAGAAAAAAATTAATCGTTAAAATTATATGTAGATATGTAAGTATATTCCCACAACCGAACATCTTGTGTCAACATCCTTGAGGACATGTCGACCGACAATCAAAATCATTTAATTGCGTAAGATGGGGGAACGAGCGTGTTCTGTGCTCAGAGTAGTGAATACATACATATATAATATATATACATGTACATAGATGTGCATGTTAATCTTATGTGCAATACTTCATCAAGGAAGCAAATGCATTGGCAAGAATACTTTGTAATATGATGACTATATAGTGTATTCTATGTATATATGTATGCTATATACTCGTATATGCATGTGTGTTGATAAATATGTTTATTGTAATGCATACCTTTGTTAATAACCCTACTGCGGTCGGATGTAAATATATAATATAAGTAAGGCTATGCACTCGCTGTTATTCGAGTCGTTCACTATTGTCAGGACAACTGTCGATAACAATGGTTTAAACGAGTTAAATACCAGTACATACGTAGAAGAGTGCATTTTTGCATGTCTGCATTAAGTATTATATTAATATATAAATAAGAAGTCCTTAACAGCTCGCGCTCTACTAGGGTTAGCTATCAATAAGCCTTATAAAATGAACTTCATATATCTATATACATGTATATAATTAATTATGTATATGTATGTACTTCCACATATGCATATATATTTATACGCTTTGTTGTACGTAATTTGATCCATGCACATGCTTCGATTAACCCTTCGATTATTTGCTTGCTGACTAATAGGTTTGTGGAATATATTTTGTTTAACCAAACCATGAATCATTTTGTATTGATTACTGATATTTCCTTCAATTTAAAAACTGTAAAGTAAAGAAGAAATCGAAAGTACTTTCGATAAACTGTTTGATTATCATGTATTATTTTCTGTATGTATTTACAATGGTTAGGTTAGATTAGATCGTAAGGCTGATCCACACACCAAAGGTAGCGCAGGATTCAACTTAGCCAGCTGTGAACGCTGGTTCTATATGATTGCCAAAACTCCTTGATATGGATCACCAAACCCTTCTAGATGGACGACGAAGCGCTTAGAGCCTACCACAAATTTGTTAAAACAGCTAGTATCAATCGCAACTATTTCACCAGAAGTCGTGTTTTAAACGATATAATTCAATATAAGTCTGACAAAAGCTGCACAGAAGGAGTCTTGCTCCATACAGCTTCTGCATTCGACAAGATATGTAGCCTCACCATATGTTGTCCAAATCTGATGAAATTCAGCTAATGGTATCCTCTCAAGTATGGTGCTGACAGTTGACTATTTATTTAAGATTAGAGAAGGAAAAACGAACTACGTTATTGTGTAAAATTACCATATTTCTGCCTTCGAAAACTAAACTGAACTATGACAGGCGTGCACAACTAACCCAACGAATTCATTTTTGTCTACAACAGTACTCGAAGTGCTCTATTACGCTTTTATTGGGTCTGGTACTCTCTGGTTTGAAATCGAATAATATTCATTAACAGTTGCTCAGTTGTAGCAAACGCATTTGGTTTTGTTGCTTTAAGCTTGATTTAGAGTGTACACAAAGTGTTGGATTTTTTGTCACTCCGAAAACGAATTTGTTGTTAATTTTATTACCGTTGTTGACGAGTGGAATGCCAAATTTGGTGCTTACCCTTAAACTCTTTTATTGCTTTGAAGCTAGTTTTTCAAATGGCGTCTGGCCTGTGTTAGTATATTTAATGAACTTTCTATATTTTTGGCGTTAACCCTTTGGGGCTGGTAGTCACTATCAGGGTTGCAAATAATGCATTAAAATTAATATTTTTTTATGATTTTTTAATCCGGTATTTGAAATTGTAAATTTAATCCTAAACGGCGATTCTCAATTTTAAATTTAGATTTTGAGATTGGAAATATGACATCTAATTTTGAATTTAAAAATTCGCATTTTTGGTCACAACCAGCAAATATGTGAAGGAAGATGACTGCGAGATTTCGATAGGTCATGGATGGCCTGAAGTCTTAATATCGAATGAATTAGATTGTAGTGTGGAATGTAAAATATCACTTTCCGTAGCATAAATCTCTGAGAGAGATTGGTCTATATGAAAATTTGAAGCACAATGTATGTTTGTATTGACCGGAATAAGATTGCAACAATTCGAATAAAAATTAAAAAAAAATATTTTTTTAGGGAAAATGCCTGGGCAAAGCACCTGCATTATTAAAAAGTAACAAACACGCTAATTAAAGCACTCTTTACTATCTCATACATGCACAGATATTTAAAGTTACATTCGAGTAGGAATTGAAAAAAATCATAATTGAAAGTAAACATTTTGCTTGTGGTGTAAAAGGAAAAGGGCACATACATTTACATACATATATGGTATATGTATGTAACACCGAACTGAAGCGTGGAGTTGAATGACGTGACGTTGCTGTGATGCTGCTGCTATTGCTCTTGCCTCTTGTTATTGTTGCTGTTGTTGGGCATCTGTCAGTTTTCACATAGTCAAACTAAAGCAAAAGAGGAAACTGTAGGAGCCTTAGGCGCAACGTCTGACAGACGCACTCTCTACCATAAATAGATATCTGAACACACTCAAACTTTCGCAAATTAATAAAGCACTCATTGTTTTTGTTGTGCATCTGGTAAGTAGTGAGTGGAGACTGAGCCAAATTGTACGAAGTGAATTATAAGAACAGAACATTGTGAATAGAGATTGAGTTAGCAATGAGTTTGCCAAGTGAAAAATCGTTTATAGTTCCATTGCGCAGGCGCTATAATGCTACAATTTAATCACATTCCATTATTGGAAAGTTAAAAGTATGGAACATTTTTGGCGAAATGCTCCATTTGTTGAGAATAAGAAGAAGTTTCACTAATACTACTAGCAGCAACAACAACAATTATGAGCTCTTCATGCCTTGAAAAGAACGCTCCCTTTACAACAGCAACACCAAAGAAAAACTGTAAAAGAAGTATTCGAAAATGCAGATATGTATGTGTGAATTCGTTTGGAGTGCGGCTTGCATTGTGACACAAAGAAAATAGATAAATTGAAAAATATTTGCAATGCTTCAATTGCTATTAGAGTGTTATCGATTTTTTATGCTCAATTCTAACGCTTTTATTACGCGCAGTCGAGTCACCATTTGGCTTGCATTCAAATGTGTGAAAATGTTTAGCGATTGATGCTGCACACTGTGATTTGCATAAGGCAATGGAGCAATATGCCTTACGAAATTTATAGATATATAATATGTTTATATACATATGTGGAACATATATGGTACATAAAATAAAAATCAAATAACGTTGCTACATTAATGAAATTTTGACGCGAGCGAAGTGCTGGCGCTTGACTCAGGTGATTGCATTGGTTGGCCAGTTGGTTGCTTGGTAAATGGGCAAGTAATTCAATGAATCGCTGAAAGCACTTAAATGACACAAGTTGGCAGAGAAAAGTGTATTTAAGTGAACGTAGTGCTTGTGTCAGCGCATAAATTACATATGTGTGTGCTTATGAAAAAACGTTGCATACTGCAAGGCGCTCTAGGCTACAATTTCACTCACACATATGTATTTTAAGTCTCAAATTGCATGTAGTAACATTATTGAAAGGATTTTAATAATACAATTGATAACTTTCACGAAGAGTAATCATTAGTTGGAGCGGAAAGTTTCGGTAAAGGAAATTAATTGATTGAAAAATATAAATTTCAGCTTAAAAAACAAAATTCTTTATTTTTTGTTTTAAAATCCATCAATCGTGCGAAGTCGTCAAGTGTTTAGCAATTCTATACTTTAAAAGCTGCATATGAAATTATACTATACAAGCTCCGAAGAAATTGTTTAGATCGGACTATTAGAGCAAGCATATAGCTGCCATACAAACTGACCGAGCTAAATCAAGATAAATATATTTTTATAAACTTTTATGCTATACAAAAACACATCCGTGAAACGTATTATAGCTTCGGTGCAGCCAAAGTACGATTCACCTTTTTTCTGTTTGCTTT